GCCGTTGCCCGTGCTCGACCTTTGCGTCAGTCCATAGCATCGTGCTACCGTCCTTCCTGATCGCAAACGACGATAGCGTGTACTGCGATGTAGATGTAAGAAACACTCTACGACGAACCGAACAGATTCATCTGTACAACCCCTCTAGGGCCTGCCACATAGGAGGGAGTGGGTTTGTGCTGATTGATCGTTTTTTTTCCCCTCTCTTGATCCTGCCCTACACATGTCTGACGGTGTTACCCTGGTCCGCGGCCCACGCCACTTGGCGGCCTCGGTTTAACTGTCGCTGGTGTCACCAGGGAGATTCGTGTTCCTGGCGAAGATTAGTCCTGGGATACGATGGTGAGGCTCGGTTCCCACAACTCTCCCGCAACGAGGGCGCACTCCCGACTAACTTCCGGACCTGGGTTCCCCTAACGACGCCTACATTGAGCGACGCCGCACCCGGATGCCCACGCGGACCCAATGAATCCAACACCGAGGCCTGAAAACTCCGTGCCTGTGGGGCTTCCGCCACCGAGTTAGCATGAACCTAGCACGAAAGGAGCCGTGAATTCCGCTTCCCCCGGTTCTTTTCCTTTTTCCTTCTGGTTTTGTCGATAGTCGGTCGGGCAGCACGTAGCGTGCAGCCCCTGGCCGAGCGTAAGTTTTTGAAAGCCGAGCAGAACCTGTTGTTTCAAAATAACCCCTTTTCCTTCCCTGGTCTCTCTCTTTTGCCGTTGACGACGGCCCAAACTCAAGACCCGCCTCGGTACGAACAAGAATCCCCTGTTCCGCCCAGGTGATTCAACCCCACTGGCCAAAAATCCTCGGCCACACCCCCATTTACTCTGATCGGCGTTCGTGGGTACGGAACGATGCGCGGGGTGTGAGGTTTGCGCATCACATGCATCTGCCAACCTTTCTGCCCCACATTGCGATGGTTCAGAAGTGTAGAGCTTTTGGTAATATTGCACGGCGTATTCCACAATGAAGTATGCATTATGGGGGTTGGGGAGGGACTGATCAAAATGGTGTCGAAGTGAAGATACCGCTGCTTGCCTAGCCCTGGCTTAGGCCTTCTTAAAGAAGGCTTTCGCCATCGTGTTGCCCTTGTCTTGCTTCCGTACACGTGCCTGGATACACCATGCCTCGGCCTGGTCATCTAAGTAGGTCTGTAGATGCTCCCTTGCGGTCTGCAGCCTGTGATAGGCGGACTGCGGTTTACTATCCCATCTGTCCAGTTCTTTCAGCAGATTGTCCAACACTGCCCTCGTTCTCTATCTATCGATCTGCCATGATTAAGCATTTCAAATAGTTTTTTGCTTTTTTTTTTTTGAAAAAAAAGGGCGACGGCCTTAACAGTGTTAGCATTGCATTGTCGAACTGGTCGGCCCCATGTAATTCAGAATCAGTTGATTAGTTGATTTCATTTTTCTGCGTCCGGCAGGATTCGAACGTAGATCTGTATTTCAACCGTTCATTGGTGTACCAACTGAGCTTTTTTTTTCTTTTTTTTTTTGCACCAACATGACTCTTATGAGTCATGGCCATTTTCTATTCTATCCACCAGCAAGTCATAAAACAGTCGAATTGACAACCATACTCGACGCCCCCTCTTCGAATGAGTGCCAATGGAAACAGGCAACGATTGGCTCAACTGATTTCCAGAGGGTTTTCCAAGCGCGTTTGGTCCTCTGTGCCCGGAAAAAGTACTTTCCGACTTTCCAAAATGACTTGCCCGCTTTTCGTGGCCACACGTCTTTTCCATCCGCACCGCGGTGGGGTCCGACCCTAAGCGAAACTGGGGCCAAGTCCCACTAGCAGCGTTGAGCTACCTCAACGCCTGAATCTGGACGTGTTTGTGGAGACGTGCAGTTGAAGAAAACACCATTTCTGCACATGTCAGCAAAATCGTCCACATTCAGGCGTTGAGGTAGCTCAACGCTGCTAGTGGGACTTGGCCCCTGGGTATTGCTCCCAGCATTCTTTTACTGGGAAGAATTGTGAGGTCCCCCGGCCTCTGAATGATTTCTGTGGGACTTCAGATTGTTCTATTAAAATAAAAAAATATAATGCACTTCACAAGTTCACATTGCACTGCACGGAAATTTGATAAAACATGTATTGTTTCCTTTTTTGAGCAGAATAAACGGGAGGGGGGGGGAATGGTTGTGATAGTGGTTGAATGGTGGTGAGCATTTTTTTGTTTTTTTCTTTCCATACAGGAAAATATCGTCAGCTGTATGGGCGGCAGGAGCACTAATGGCCACTTTGCTAAGTGTCGAAGTCACATGTCAAATTCCTTCTGAAATTCTCAATCGATGTATCCTTCACTATAAATGACCTGTTAATAAAAAAAGAAAACAAGATCAATAGACTGAGATTTGAGCCACTTCCTAGATGAAAGGCTGCAAAGTGTACCGAGGGAGACTGTAAGGGCCAAGTTCGGCCAACAGTTTTTTTTTTTTTCCCCCTCCCCGAGCAGTCAGTCGGGTTTTTGGAAAAAAAAAAAAAAAAAAAACAGCATGGTAGTTTTTCTTTCTCACCTTTGGCAGTTTTTCCTTAGCGGCGTATCGAATCAGGTTGACTTCTTCCGTCAGCACCTGCAGCAGTGCGGCGCTTGACCCGCTCGCAGACGTTGCCCGCAGATCTCGCAGTCTTGATAGTACTTTCACATGCCGCCCTGCAGAGACCAAGTGAACTGGATCGAATTATTTCCAAGTTCTAGTGCTCAAGCGGGGTGACGTGGTTCAGATCAAATGCGTAATGGCCGATATGCCAACCTCCCCCCCCCCCCCACCCCCTTTCTTTCTTTTCTCTCGGTTTATGCGTAATGGCTGACATGGGAAGCTTTCAAAACGACATGACATGGGAATCAAAGCGGACGAAAAACCAGCCACATGCAGGACACATTCAACAGACTACGTGTCATGTCTTTGTCATGTAGTCTGTGTTCTGCACATTCCAGGGACGAAAAAGCAGACACATGCAGGACACAATCTCACTAAATGTGCAAAACGAGAATGAATGAATCCATAGAACAGGGGAAGATGCACCGCCATATTTTTTGGCTTTTGCGCATGTGGTGAGTCGAAAGATCCATGGAGAACATGGAAGTATGCGCAAAAAGGACAGGCACTGAAATTATCGAGATAAACAGAGTGTCCGCTTTTTTTTTTTTTTTTTTTTTTTKTGGCACTCTTCATCGCTATTGGCTGCTGCATCCCGTCCACGGGACCTGGTTTTGGAAAAGTTCAAGACTGCTCTGGGGACCAACCTCAGCTTTCGGCACAAATTTGCGGCGTCATTTCCTTCGCTCGCTGTTTTCCAGACCGCGGACCATGTGAAAACGTCCACAGGCGATCTTCCAGGCCACAAAATGCGGGCTGTGGGGTCCCGGAATACTGTTTTTGGAAGACATTTCGGCCTTTCCATACACTTTTCCGCGAGGTGTGGGGTCCTGCAAACACTTCCGCGGCGAAGTTTTTCCTTTCCGCATTCCTATGGGGTCCGGGCCTTAGTATCGTTAGGATAGCCCCTTCTGTTTTTTTTGGCGGAAAACATTGCCTAGGGTTACTAGAGAGGGTGATACGAACATCACCAATCAGTTCCCTGTAGCAGCGCTCGGAGTGCACCTTAGCCATAAACATGCCCAAATTTGCAGACTAATTGTAGAGTTCAAAATGAACAAGGAAAGCTAGACAAATTAGCATGGTTACGCCGTATCCGTACCCAGACACAGTGAGACATCCGGCCGGACTGACGTCCAGGAAACTCTCGAAAAAAAAAAAAAGGTTACAGAAGGTTTACAAACAGGGCGTGAATTAGGCCATTCCTACCTCAAGGCAGTATCCAGACTCTCTCTCTCTCTCTCTCTCTCTCTCTCTCTCTCTCTCTCTCTCTCTCTCTCTCTCTCTCTCTCTCTCTCTCTCTC